ATGTGCCTTTTGGCTTGAGAGAGATTATTTGGCGTGCCCCTTTCGCATGAGAGATTTTGGTTGGAGTGTGACCCATAGGAAAAACTTGGGAGAGATCTTGAAGATTTAAGTAGAACGTGCCACCTATAGAGAGATATTTTAGAGAGAGAGATAAGTCCTTAGAGAGAGAAGAGAGAATAAGCGTTCAGATTTTATGAGGTGGAAGAGCCTCTTTATATAAATTTTATATGTCCTTGGGTTTGCTTCAATTTGTAGGGTTAAATCTTGACCATCGAGGGAGATAAACCTTTAGAGAGAGAAAAGAGAATAAGTGTCCAGATTTTATGAGGTGGAAGTGCCTCTTTATATAGATTTTCTATGTCTTGGGGTTTATCTCAATTTGTAGGATTAATCTTGACCGTCGATCTAAAAAGACATGTGGGGTGAGAGATTTGAATCATCCATCTGTTTGATCGACCATCAAGATTCAAAGACATGAGCTAGAGCTTTATCCTCCGTGTCTTACATCTATTCACATCAAATATTTAAATAAACAAAGTATTACTTTCTAATTTAGTATATTTAATCTTTATTTCTTGGATGAATCAATCTTGATTCAAAGATGTACTAAATATTTCAATTATTCAATCTTATCATATAAGTTGGTTATACCCAAAAGATAGGCCAACAAACAAGGGGGTGCCACCCTTCAGTGGCCATATGTGGGCCCCATCCAATCACACATATTCTAAATTGGATCCCTATATTTATGGATGGTTCCATATAATTTTAGAGCACTTCACTTTCAACTGCAGACCACAATCCACCTAGCTTTCTCTATCTGACCTAGTAATTCCCATGGGCCCCACAGTACACTACAATCGCTCATGATTAGACCACCAAATAGACTAGGGGACACAATAGTAGTTTATGGATTTTAGATTATTCCCTAGAGAAAATCATGATCCTTCAGACCAAGATGCAACCATGACTCTATGATTCATAAGAGAAATTTCTTGCCTATGTACACGCTTCACCCTCTTTGGCGAATCTCAAAACGACTATCTATGTACATGCTGTGTGATGATATAACGATGATGCTTTAGCACTGTCTATAAAGGCTATTCATCACACGTAAGGGCTACACAGTCCCTCAGCTCTCATCTGAGTATACTCCGGCCTCATCAAGGGCTAACCCACTAAACTCTTTTTGGTAGATCCCTATGACCAGGTATCTTGGGTTTTTCTAAACTTGGCTGGCCTAACACGTTGAGTCTAGTCTGGGTATCGGTAAATCGCATTTGCCTAGTATGATCTACAAGATGACCATACTCCCACTAAATTTATGTTTCACTATATAAAATACTCATACAAGCTCTCATAAAGCCTTAAAATACCACATAAACCCAACAAAAAATGCTCTTAGATTACTAAACACCAATGGTTATCTTTTATGAATATTTGATGTAGACTCTTGGTAGTCTTAAAAGTTAAGGGGTGTGGTTTGCGTAAGGTCGCAACCTTAAACAATCCCATTAAGGCACACCTCTAAATTTTATTACAAATGTAATTTTGATATAAAAAATTTCTTCGGATGGCTTGAAAATCTATTATCATCTCTAATTATAAACTTTTAAACTCTAAAATGGTTCAAATCAAGTAGATATATAAGCACATGAAAATCTTGCAAGATACACTATCTCAAGAACTCAAAATATTTTTTCTTTTAATAGCCATACACTATTTCATGGGCTGGTAGGATCTATTTTCTCTCTAGGAAAAAGTTTATATAAGGTTGCAACCTTAAAATGTAGAACTACAGATGCATCTCAACAATCTATCAGAAAATATTGTTTTAATGTTGAAAACCTTGTGATTGATCATCTCGACATCGAGATGTATGACTATGAAAACTAAACAGATGTTGAGTCTCAGAAATAGTGCATCTTACAATATAGTATCTACACCGTCCATTATCAAGATTTTCATACTTGATTTTAACTATTTTCAGAATTTAAAATTTTATGATTA